ACCCTCATTTAACATAAATGTTGATATGACCCAATCATACTCTTGGTTGGAACTTACTGTTTATAAATGCTGGTAATTCTGTATCAATAATTCTTTGTTTTAGAACTATGACAGGGATTTCAGCATTACAGCCGAAAATCATATTTTTGTAATTTGCCTTCTCTTTGTCATTTCCATGAATAATAATATTTGTCAGAATAAAATATATCAGATCTTAAGGATGAAAATTAATATTTAGCTAATATTTAAACACATATTGCCAAGTCTTTTTTCCATTTTTATAAGATCTGGTCTAGATGCAAGTCAACATTAGAAACACATTTCATCCTATGAAAGAACTTAGAAAGCTGATTTCTTCCAACTTCTGGTGAGGACATGACAAGTTAATGTATTTCCCTGAAAATAACACCGGGTCTTATATTAATTTTTGATTAAAAAATGCAGTAGGGCTTATTTTCCATTTATGTCTTATTCAGGGAGAAATACGATACCAAATGTGTCCCTCTGGCTGATGATCTTAACTGGGGCTTATTTTTCGAGTAGGACTTATATTATGAGCATCCTGAAAAATCATGCAAGGGCTCATTTTTTGGTTGAGTCTTATTTTTGGGAAAACATGGTAGAGAGCCCTGAAAGAATGAGAATCATATTCTGGCCACAATCAATGGCCACAGGATGGCTTTTTTTTTTTTTTTTTTTTCTTTTTTTCTTTTATTTTTTTTTTTATTATGNCCCAATGGTTACTCCTCCCACACTTCTCGTCGAAACATGCAGTTCAGGTAAGTCCAACTGCCATTCTTATTACACTCATTAGCATACAATGTTATCACTTAGGCGGCCAGAGTTGCCTATGTCCAGTTACTTTTATGAGTCATTTATCCTGTTTTCCACATCCCATGCGCTTTCATTGTTTCGTGTGCTCTATGGGACATCCTGTGGGAGCAGGTCTCTGCAATTATTCCCACACTGGCTGTGACTCACAAATGATGTTGCCCAGCTGCATATGTTGCACTGATGTTGTCATTACTAGAAGTCTCAGGGCTCATTGTGAATAATTTTAAAAATACTAAATAGCATGGATTGCACACTTGGTAATCTCAATTTGGACTCACAAATCCCAGATGCACTAAAGTAAGAGTTAAATTTTTTTTCCAGTACTTTTGCCCTGGCTGTTAGACCTTCATGGTGGAAAGCCTTCCTTTTGGGCACCACTGAAGGAATCCTCTATTGCTTCTATCAATGCCTTCCCCTTTGCATCAGAAAATTTTTTAAAGCACCCATCAAGTCTCCCTGATCTGATCAATTTTTAATCCTTTGCCAAGAACATGTGTGTCCCACTCACATGTTTTGAAAAAAGGGGGGATTTTAGGAAGCTAGCACCCACCCCTCTCCTAGAAGAATGAAATATTCTAGGAAATATTAAAAGGGCAAAATATTTTCCCTAAAAGGGAGGCATACATTCATCCCCCCACCTTTGTCAATGGACCGTTAAGGCCTGAGCTAGTCTATTCTACATAATAAAGATCTACCCTCTTCAGGCAGAGCTATAATAGGAATCCCAATGCCCTTTCATTACATCATCACCCAGCTAAGGCTCAATCAAGTCTGGGAGACAGAGAGCCTACAAAGTTAGCTAAGACCGCTGCCCCCTGGGAGTCTGACCACCAATCAGAATACATTTCTTACACAGGAACAGGAAGTTCTAAGGTGGGGCCCAGAGAGAACATAAAAACAAGGCTCTCTCAGCATCTCTTCCTTTTCCCCCCCAGGACCTCAAACCATGTGGTCTTATTCAGCTTTAAAAACCATCATTCTAAACAGCCACCATTTTTCCAGTGTCTTTCTCCCCACTTGGAACTGAACCCAAAAGGATATTTCTTCCAACACTCATTAGAATTTCAATTAGTTTACAAAGAAGATTTACCTCTCTTCAGAGTCAACTAGTGTCACACACTAGAAGCTGAAAGAAAAGTTAACAACTCACCAAATTTCTCAATACTCACAAACGCCTTTTTAATACACTTCATCTGGATGGACACCTGCTTCAGCTTTTAGTGCCTGTTTATAATCCATGATCTTCCTTAAAAATATCTTTTGTATCTCTGACCGCAGTCAAAAACCTTGCAACTTACTGTTTCTTTATATGAAAGGGAATCAAAGTACATTCATACCAACTTTTACTATCAACATACATTCGCACTGCAATCAGACTGCTTGTGTAAACCAATTTCACATGCAAAAATCCCATTTAATGCTTTCTCCATACAAACCAATCATTACAATTATTTTCTGGGAGCTTTTTCACAAACCAATGAGCTCCATTTTCTTTCTTTTTTGGTCAAGTTTTTTATTTTATATTACTTATACATATCAATGAGAACAATGTGATATTTGGGTATCATACATTTTGATACAAGTAAACATAGTATTATTACTCATGGTTATTACATTTTCATTGTTTCATATTGTTTAAATATACCTGATACTATCGTTCTTTAATTTCTAAGCCTCCCTCTTATTATTATTTCTATCTTATTTCTATCTCTATTCTAACTTTTATTCATGTCAGCATAAATATTCAAAGACATTTTTTTCTGTCTTCCATCTTTCACCTGCTTTATTATTCAGATTTCCCTTATTTAACTCTTCACATCTATTTATATTAAAGTTTCACCCTTCATTCTTTCATAGTTCAATGTTCCAAAGTACAATTCTAATACCAATCACAATCTTATTTAAACATATAGGGTAGATCTATTCATATTTTTTCCATTCATCCAATCCATATAATTCTGTTATTAATACACATGCTTACATTAAATTATATTCTTTCATTTATCTAATTGTTTGATTTTATTGTTTCACTACTAATCATTATATTTTTAGGCATGTTTAATAATATCGTCATTCAATCTCTAATTTTTCAGTTAATGCTTAGTTCTTATTCATAATTCCCATATTTCACTCTTATATATATTTGTATTAAAATTAAAATTACAGTATATTTTTTTCCTCTCACTTTGATTCTTTTCCTTCCAGTTTAGTAGTTTTTTAAAGTGCTTGTTTGCCATTTGGACAGAAACTTGTAAATAAATATTCCCCTAGATTTCCTTGGGGTCAAATCTTAACAGAAAATATCCTCTCAGCCAGTTCACGTACTCTTCACCAAAGTCTGCACAATATTTAGATGGTCATCGGCTGCCATCTGCCTCTTCTCATCATGGCTAAGAGGGAAAAAAGCCTCTGGGTCAGATATGAGAGATGTGGCTCTCCTCAACCTCTCAGAGTATTCCTCTTTGCTTCGCCACCCCTACAGAGTGGCTTTGGCTCATTTTGGAGCCCACGAATGGAGAGCATGGAGGTGAGCTCCCACTACTGAAGCGGTAGTGAAGGAAAGAGGATACCATTACTGCCTATAGACCTGTGTTGGGGGGGGGGGTGTTCCCTCTCTGGCCAAGGTCTTTATTCAGCAGAATGCTTTCAGATAACTCTCTGCTGTGGTACTATTTATGAGGCAGGAAAACTCCCTACTTTGGTTCCTTTATCTGTATGGCCTGATATTCCTGAGTAACTGCTTCTATATTTTCAAGGATATGCCTAGCTTTGAAGCCAAGAACAGAAGCAAGATAACAAACTTTGCATTAATGCCAATCAATATCAAGGCTACAATAAACTAGAATTAATTCCTAATACCATATTTTTTGGAGTGTAAGACGTACCTTTTTCCCTCAAAAAAGAGGCTGAAAATCTGGGTGCGTCTTATACATTGAATTCAGCATTTTTTGCCTCCCAAAACCCCACCCCCTTCACCAAAATGGCCGTGCAGAGCCTGTATGAGGCTTTTAGAGAGCTCCTGGAGTCTGGGGAAAATGGCCTGTTTTTTTTGCTCAATTTTACCCCAGCCCCCAGGAACACTCTAAAAGCTCTAAACACTCTAAAGGCTATCCATGCTCTTTTTTTTACGAAAAACTGGCCCATTTTTTAAAACATAAAACATTTATCTGTTTTTTTGAGTATAGATGTTGAGGATTTCTCCAACATCTGCCACTTGACCCTGGAGATTTGAATGGCGCCTGATCTGCTTGTATTCAGAAAAGCTGTTAATTTTCTGCCTAAGGACTATAGCTTGGGCTGGTGCAAAGGGATGGCTTGATGCCTTCATTAGTATTCATCAGTTGTATTTTTTCTTATGGATATTTTGATGCTGCAAATTGTCAGATATCTTTTCAGAGTATGGACACCAAAAGGGATAAAGTTAATTTATATGAAATTAAATTGTCCTGTCTTATTTAATATTGAATAGTGCTTAAGTTCTGAATCCTTCCATGTATCGAATACATTTCCAAATTCAGAAAAAACAATGACTTGTATTTGGTTAAAACAATACTGTACGTAAGATCCCTCAACTGTTTTTCTTTCTCGGTATTTCCCCCCTTCCCCCCATCAAAGTAGTCACTACCACAAACTCTGAGCACCAAAGTAAACCAACAACGAGTGCCTCGGAGTACTGCCCTACTGGAAGGATTTTTTTCCAACGTAGGAATTCATTTAAATATTTTTTCAAGAAAGGCTGAAATCATAATTTCGTAGCTCTATCCTTTTAATGCATTGTTCTGCTGGTCTTACTTCATCTCCACACAAAAAAAATAGCGGCACAACATTAAGCTATTAAATACATGTCCTCTTCCCTAAGGGCCGAGATGCCAATAATAGAATACCATGTTCCGAAAGAGAACATAAAAGCGAGGTCGCATGCGCACGCAACTCATTCAGGGGAAGCCCTTGCAGAGGTGCGTCGCAAATATGGTCTTTCAATGTGCGAGCGGATGCTCAGGCACAGATCTAGACCAGGCGTGAGAACGAAAGGATGATTTAGAAAAGGGGACAGGCCACAATTTTGCGCAAGCGCAGGAAGAGCGTTGGGGCTCTTTGGACGGCGAGTCGTTCAAAAGAAGCGACGCTGTTAAATTGAGAGCTTGGCTGAACGTAGAGAAGGCCAGGTTTTTCATGGAGTGAGTGACGCCTCTGGCTGGCTAACGGTGGCTGGAACTGGACGTAACTTCCACAGGACGGAGTGGAGAAAAGCCAGCAAAACAGTTTTTTGATTTCGTTCTTGCTGTTCTTCGACTCAAGCCTTCTTGCCTCGCTCGGGGTTGTCTCAGGGAGTATGAAAGTTTCGCCTTAGCCCCAGCCCCGAAACAGCGGTTCTAGCGGCTTCCTATTTCCTCTGACTAGGAGGAACGGCCGCTATTGCTCACTTTTCGGTGAGAAGTGGTGAGGTGGCTGGCGGCGCCTGAAATTGAGAAGCACAGGCTCTATCTGCGGCGTTATTTGTCCGGCCGTGAGGCTCCTAGCCTTCTATCTGCTGAAGTATCTCACCGCGTTCCTGCTGTCGATCTTCGTGGAGAGATTTTGCAAAAGCGAGACCCGATAAGACATTGTAATCTTCACTTACTCCTCCAATTAAACTTTGTTTAAATGTAGAGTATTTTCTCCCCCCGGAACTTGCATTGCAAGCCCTGGATACTTTGCACGGAATTTGTATGCTTGGCTCATGATGACTTTGTTCCTGAAAGACTGGTGTTAGTTTATAGTTAATTGGTTTATAGCTAGTTAACTTTGGTGAAGGAAGCAAAACAAGACATTCCTTCACCTCCTTATTGATGGGCAGAAAACTCCTTAATCTCTTTTATTACAATTTCTTGAGAAATTGTGATTCCTTTACACAGACTTATCAAGAGCAGGAAAGTTTGGGTCCAATATACAATGGAGCATGGCAAAATGGATTATTTCTGTGAACAAGTACAACAAAAAGATGTGGGCCGCAGGTTGCAAGTTGGCCAGGAATTTCTGGAATATTTGAATGATCCCAGCATTTCTACTGATCTTGAGCAGGATCAACAGTGTCTTGATAAAGTAATCGATGAATTAACAAGATGGGTTAACTCTAGTAATTATAAGGTAATAATTGTACCTGATATAGATGTAATTCTGATTCTTGTTAGGTATTGTGTTGCTCTTTCACTAAGGTCTCTGTCAGTGAAGCGAATTTTTCAAAAATTGAATTTTTGTCATAGGGTTCATTTAATATCAATTTTATCCTTTTACTTTGTAAAAAATCAGTTTTGTTTAATTCACTAACACTCAGGTGTGTATATTCAATTGTTGTTAGTCACAAAGTTGTGTTCGACCCATTGCAAGGTTCTTCCAGGCCTTCCTGTCCTCTACTATCTCCCAGAGTAAATTTAAGCTCACATGGACTGCTTCAGTGACTCCATCCAGCCACCTCATTCTCTGTTGTCCTTTTCTTCTTTTGCCCTTAATCGTTGCCAGCATTAGGCTGTTGTCCAGTGAGTCCTTCCTTCTCATTAGGTCGCCAAAATACTTAAGTTTCATCTTCAGGATCTGGCCTTCTAAAAAACAGTCATTCAGGTCATTCAACAGACAAGTATAAATATAACATTGGGTGAAATAATCCTAATATATATGTGGGTTATTATTTTCCTTGAGAATACAAGTAGTTCTCAATATATGACTGTACAGTATTGGAGCCTTCCAATAAGCCATGATAATCCTAAAATGGGCTGGTTATATAATTGTTCTGATTTTATGATCTTTTTGCAGCAAACATTAAGAGAACCAATAGTATGCAGTTTTACAAAAAAATCGAAGTAAGTTGGTTTATAGGTCACTGAAAATGAGAAGCTGCAAGAAGCTGTAAATATAGCCCATTTATGAAGCACCTGAAGTTTTGATCACATGCCTGAGGGACCTCAACTATCAGAACTTCAAATCCAGGTGATAAGTAGCACAGGTAGATCTGTAATAACTTCAGATGGCTGCTAAGTAATAAGTTGAGAACCACTTGTATTACATTCATGTTCATTATAGACTGACTATAAAAACTGCATGTTAGAATTGTAATCCTTGCATATACTGTATTTAAGACTCTTCTTGAACTTGGTAGAATTTGCAATCCATTAAACCAGAAACAAAGTAAGTATGTTTTAAATTTATATTTTTACAGTCAATGTAGTTACTTGGGATATAGTGTTTCCAGAGGAGTCAGATATTTATTTAATAAGTATATTTCATTTGTTAAAGAAGTAACTTTAATAGCTTTAATATATTCCCATTAAAACATAAATAGCAACAAAAATATTTTAAATAATATTAACTTGTAGACTATTCCATTTGGTGTTGTAGAAAATTCTAAATTACTCATATTTCAGATTTTCTAAGCAGATTTTTCTTGGTTGCCAGAATAGAAGTATTGATTTCAAAATTTCCATGGCATTGCCTATCCACCATTTTTGTCATAAATGCAGGCAACATAACAATCGGGAAATATGTCAGCCAATTTTAAATTCGGATTTACAGTATTGGACATTTTGGCCACAAAGTTAATCATGTCATTTGAAACTT